ATCTATCTATCTATCTATCTATCTATCTATCTATCTATCTATCTATCATCTATCTAGACTTCCATCTATCTTTTCAATTTTATTGAGAGAGAGAGAGAAAGAGAGAGAGAGTTATAAAGGAAGGCAAGAAGATGAAGGAAGAGGAGAGAGGTGAGAAATAGATTTGATAAGAAACACAGAGAGTGATGCAGAGAATGATGCAGAGAAAAAAAGAAAAATACAAAGGAAAGCATAAGAGAGAGAGGCAAAGAGGGCACTGCTGAGAATGGGCAAGATCCACTGAGACCGGGGCACTTTAAAAACACAAAAAACAGAAAAAGGAGGAAAAGAAAAAAAAACCTCCCCCCACACATCATTACCTCCCAAGATATGATGACACATGACCTTGAAGTGTTCATAAATCATGTTCCTTTCAACAATGTGTCACCTTAAAAAAAAAAACAAAAACAGCTTCTTCCCACACTAACTCCTGCTTACTCTGTGTGGGCAAGTGAGCTTGAAAAACAATGCCTGTGCCTAGCCACATAGTTAATAAAAAGTGACCAATAAGCAGCTTCCCATCTTATTGCCTCTCTCCACAATTCCGCCCTAGTTTCAAATGTAGTTTTATAACTCATTGGCATAATTCTGAAATGCACCCACACTCAGCAATCTATAAATGTTAACATAGACTATTAATGGGTCCTGAAGATGGAACTTCTGAAATTCTGATAGAACACATGCTCTTCCAAATTTGAATACACACTCCTGTGGCCATGTTGCAATGGCGGTCCTTATTATTAACTTCAGTTCCCCTCCTTTGGCTGCTTTGAGATTATGAATACAGAACGTAGATTATACTAGCTCATGAGGTACATTTATGCATTTTGGAATTCACATCTGGCCTGGAGAAACAATAAACATGGGTCCCTTTACCAACTGCTTAGAGAGGTTAAAGTCATGATGTATTTTTTAAAAACGAAATCCAGCTCAGCATTCAGTAGTTTGCTTTTTGTGATATGTCAGAATATATTTATCTGCATGGTGCAACCCAGGATAATCAAATCAGACATTAGGTGCCAAAATTTTAAGATAAAATGTTCAGTGTTTATTCTTTAAGGGAACAGATCCCTGAGTAAGACATTCCCTTTCATTTGGGCAGCAGTGGCGGTGAAATATTTGTTCCATCAGTATTGATCATTGCTGGCCTTGAGTAATTGAGCACAAATCAATAGTTAATTAAATGTCTCCTTTTAAAAATCAGTCCCTTTCTTCTGATTTTGGTCCTGAATATTAATTAGCTTTTTACCAGAATTATTTTCCCCAAGTCTTTCAATACTGATGATAAAAGTTAAAATTCAATAACTTTTTTATATTAAAAAAGTACCCATGATTAGTTAACTTGATAGTTATACTAAATTGAGTAAAATAATGTGCCTAAAAAGATGCCTCAAGTTGTATTATCATATGAGGTTCAGAGGCAGAGGGGTAATTTTTTTTCCTGTACAAAATGCATATGAGAATGCTTTTCCCTTCTTAAAAGAGGTATGCTAGACTAGGAGTGTAGAAAGAAACATACGTTTTCAGACATGGTCAATGTATGGATTTGTTTTTCTTCATTATACATATTTGTTGTGGGGGAGGGCTTCTTTGAGGGCAGAGTGATTGGTGAGTAGTGATAGAGATTTAAAAAAAAGCAGAAAAGAACATTAATGAAACATTTAAAAAATATATATATCCAGAAGAGGGAAAAAAAAAAAGGAAAGTTCAGGTAGGGACATTGTCATTCAAGGAAGTTTTGTTACTACTGTTTTAAATTTAATTCACACTTAAAAAAAATCTAAACAGTTTCATATGCAACCCTTTTTTTCTGTTGTTTCTCTAGTGAAATGTTGATGATGTGGTATTTATTAAGCTCTGAGTTCAAACACCATTTTCAGGAAGTCTTTCCTGATTTCTCCAGGTACTACTTTACTCCTTCCCAAAACTATCTCATATTCATTTTGTATAAGTTATCCACATACTTAGATATATATACATGGTGTGTCCCACATTAGAAGGAAAACTCCTGGAGGGCTGGGATGTTTTGGTTTTTGTCTTTGTATCCCCAGTGTTTGATATATAATAGGAACTTAAAAAGTGGTAACTGATTGGTTAATTAAAAAAGAAAAAAACAAAGCAAGAATTATTAATATTTTTTTTATATTGGGTCTATTGTCTTGCCCAGGCTGGAAGTGTAGCTGCCACTCAGGGGCCTGATCCCCCTTCTGATCAACATGGGAGCTTTGACCTAATCCTTTTTCCCATTTGGGAAAGTTCACTCCTCCTTAGGTAGCTTGGTGACTCCTTGCTCCTGGGTCTTACCATAATGGTTCCCAGTCCTAGTGCAGCTACCTGGTTGGGTCTAACCCACTACAGCTCAGAACTCCCAAACGCAAGTGATCTGCCAACCTCAGTCTCCTCTGGCATTAGGGATTCCATTCTTGCACCACAGAATTTATCTTATTTCTACTGAACTCTAGCATTCTCTATAGCAGTGATGCCAACTTGAGAAATAGATACCTGTAGGCCACACATTGACTTGGAAAACCACAAATTAGCATTATCTATGCTATATTTTAATTTATTTTGTTGAACATTTCCAATTACATTTTAATCTGGTCTGGGTGGTACTCAGGAGTTTTGCAGCTAGCTACAAGTGACCAGGAGGCCTGGAGTTGGATATCTTTGCTCTATAGAACACATGACATTTTGTCTCCGTCGAGTTGCATTCCTTCTAATCTAGATGCAGTGTTAACACAGGTGGCCAACCCTCTAGTAATTAGAGAACTTTAATGCTGCTGAAAGAACCTTAGCTAATCCTAGCACAATGTCTTCTTCATTCCTTCAGTTTTCATTCCTCTCTCCACAGTCTCTTTAAACACTGAATTTTTCTGGTTGAATGAATTAGCTACTTGACTGACAAGCATTTTTCAAGCCTTTCTTCTGGTTGTGGAACTATACACCTGCTCTGGATATAAAACAAGACATAAAAGATAGCATCTCTGCTTTCATAGAATCTGCAGTCTAGGTGGGAGGACACATCAGATAAAAGCTGACATTAGACAGTTAGAGATTTAATATAGCAATGGGAGAAATGGAATTCAATATGGAATTACTGAGGGCATACAGATCAAAGAAAACTTCTTGGAAGGTAATTTTGATCTGGGACTGGAAGGAGGTGATAAGCATATATTGATAGAGAAGGATGTATTTTGATGGGAAAGGGCAGTCGATGGCTGGGGTAACGAGCATACTGGTTTGACTACAGTAGAGATAGTGTAGGGTTGAGGGGATAAGTTTGAAGTGTTTGGGGAGTGGATATCATGATTAATGGAGGACCTGGCTTTTCTGGTTTCCTTCAAGTCTCAGCTAAAGCCTTACCTTTTACAAGAAACCTTTCCGAGTCTTCCTTACTTAATCTTAGTGTCTTCTCTCTGAGATTATGTTCAATGTTATCTGTATATATCTTTTTTGTATACACGTTATCTCTGACTAGAGAGCGAGCTCCTTGAGATCAGGGACTACTTTTTTTCTTCTTCTTTTCTTTGTATCCCACGGGCTTGGCACAGTGCCTGACGCATAGTAAGTGCTTAATAAATGCTTGTTGACTTGATTGGACCTTGAATGGTAGGACTTTAGGGGGCACCACTGCATAGTGGATAGAGTGCTAGGCTTACAGACAGGAGGACCTGGGCTGGAATCTGACCTCAGACACAACCTAGCTGGATGACCTTAGTCCAGAGCCTT